CAATCATCTGAGCCGGCCCGGCTAAAGTAACTGGATGGCCTACCTGCCTGTCAGCCTTCCATCTGTGCACAAACTTATCTCGTGCCTTCATTGGTCATGTGCGCGTTCGTGTGTGTTGAAGGAGGGGCTCTGTAAGGAAGAGGCTGATTTTTTCCGGTTGTGTATTTTCTAATTCTAGCGCACTCAAGCTGGTTTCTCCAAAATGACCTACCCCACCTTTAATGACATCACCTTGGACTCTGAGAAACTGTGACATTTTTCACAATTTTCTGCCTTTTTTTTTGACCAACATATTCAACAAGGGATCTAAAAAAATGTATCAATCACTAATTAAAATACTGTAGTTTCAGCTCTGGATGCATGGCATGTTTTAGTAGCGGTTGCAGTGTTTGGTTCATGTCTTGTGGGATGTATTTAACCCATGTGTGCCGTGGTGATTGACTCTAACATTCCTCTCTGTCTCTCTGCGTCGCCTCCTCCGATCTCCCGCCAAAATCAGGCCATCGTAAGTACGGCCCTCCCACACCCGGCCATGATTCAACTCTCTACCAGCTTTGAATGTGTGTTTGTTTTAATTAGAAAGCATTGTGTGTTTAGTTTGAGTTTAATATGTTTTCTCTTCTCCTTTTTGAAGTCGTCCTTACTGAAGAAAAAGCTGGAGGAGCATCTGTAAGTAAACCCACTGTAACACCCAGATGTTCTTTAAATTAGCATCACCATTAGCATGCCCATTAGCACTCACATTAGCATGCCCATTAGCACTCACATTAGCATTCCCATTAGCACTCACATTAGCATTAGCTTGCTTTACTTCCTTGGATCCACACATATATATTTTAAAACACTTTTTCATACTCAAAAGGTAACACAAAGAGATAAGAGAAATGTTTGCGTTGCAACAGCAACACGACAAAACAAGGCAATGCACACAAGAAGAAATTAAATAGTAGAAATAAACAATAGTAGAATTTAAACAACTCAAAATAGAATTAAAGCAGCATGTACATCATCTGTTTTATATATATCCTGCTTACTTGAAGTAAACGATTATTTTGTGTTGGTTTTTTTGTAAATTATTGAGTGTTCTTGTATTTTTATGTGTTTTTTGTATACCTCGGGACTGTGGGAAACAATATTTCGATCTTTCTCTTGTGTACAAACATATTTTGAGATTGACAATAAAGTTGACTTTGGATTTAAATTTAACCTAGTCTAAAAACACCTTACATTTGTTATCAATAATATTATGTAATATGTGTATATAGTGCTTTTCGCAGTGCTCAAAGATGCTTAAAAATAACCACTCAACCAAATTAAAGGTCAATAGGCGCTTCCACACCGGAGTACTTTTCCCAGGAATAGTTCTGATAGTTCCTGGGATTTTGCGTTCACACCAAAAAGATCTGGAACTTTTTTTTGCTAACCTTTTTAGTCCCTGTTGAGAGGTGGTACTTTCGTGAGGAGGAAAAGGTTCCAATTTCTGATTGGTTGGGCGGATTGCAAACCACGCCCCGTAAAACTCCGAAACGTTTTTGTGAAGCCGCCATTTTATTTCCTAGCATTAGCATTATTAGCATTAGCCCAGCGCACCAACGGAGAGAGACTAAGTTATTGCAACACAAAAGAAAATATTGGAGCGGTGGAGATGAGGAGGTGTCGGCGTTCTGGCTATTTACTCGGGACTTTTGGGTTGACCCAAAGTCGGGCTCCGGGGACTTCGGGTGGCAGTAAATCGCCGTGAAGTGGTTTGCGGCCTGCCAGTAAATCCGAAGAAGAAGTGACGTCAGCGGCTCATTTGCGTAATCTTCCCTCAGGGAACTTAGTCCGGTGTGAACGCGATCTGGACTTAGTTCCATGGGGGTACTAAGTGCTAGTAACTAAGCGCTAGTAACTAAGTGCTGGGAACTAAGTGCTGGGAACTAAGTGCGGCAAAGTGCTTGGTGTGAAAGCGGCTAATATTTATCCATGTTGTCCCAAACTAAAGTGAACTCTCTCTCCTGATGTGTATCTGTTTCAGAGAGAAGCTCCATGAAGCTCACTCTGATCTGCAAAAGAAGAGAGAGGTCATCGATGACCTGGAGCCCAAAGTGGACGGCAAGAGTGAGTAGTTTCTTAACGCAATCAAGAAGGAGCATGATGCCAATATGTACCCCCCTTTTTTTCTTTTTTCTTTATCCCAAACACCAAACACATTCTCCACACATGCAATAAAATAATAAATAAATGACGTAAAAAAATCCCCAAAATAAATACATTATATAGATGAGAGTAACACCTACGTCACTTCCGCGAAAATTACGGCTCCGCCCACTTTTGGGGGAAAACAACACTATCAGTGTTTTACAAATTCTGAAGTTTTTGCCAATCCGATCAGAAATTTAAGAAAACCGTGGATTTTCTGATCTTCAAAGAGCCCGGTTACGATGGCCAGACAGGCAAACAATTACATTAAATCATTTGAATACGACGATCGGACTCGATATATGGTTAAATTAAAATCAGTAGGCGAGGCTGTAATTTCTCCAGCTGTTGCTCTCATGAGCGAGGCGGAAAATAATAGTTTTATCATGCCAAAAAGCTGCTGTGTCGTTTATTGATCCTCAAACATTAAAACAAATACAGAGTTCAGTGTTTCTGGACTTCCTCTAAGAAGAAAGGACAGTAACAGAAGAGCTCTGTGGCTTCAGGNCTCGAGATACACTTTTTGTTATATTCATTACATTACATTACATTGCATTTAGCTGACGCTTTTATCCAAAGCGACTTACAATAAGTTCCTGGTCGAATGCACTTATTGTAAGTCGCTTTGGATAAAAGCGTCAGCTAAATGCAATGTAATGTAATGTAATGAATATAACAAAAAGTGTATCTCGAGCTGGTTTCTCAAACTTACCTACCCCACCTTTAAGTGGCTTGTTTCCCAAAGAAAAACTAAAAAATATTCAGTTAAATATGAAAACACGGAGACAATCAGCTGATTATTGGCTAAAAAAGTATTTATGCATGAAGGATGACTTCAGCAAAAATAAAGTTATTTTCTTGTTGAACACATTGATGATGATGATGATGATTAACCATAGATTCACTATGTGCTCGTATGTGGATAGTAAAAATAGATGGTACCAATTTTCCTTTAGCATTTTAAGACTTTTAAAAGCTTTAGACTGACATTTTATTACAAATGAAGACCTTATTTTAGATTATTTTAATACATTTGTCTTTTTCAGACTTGTTAAGTTTCTGCAGCATCTCCTGGTTGCAGCTGTGCATGCATCTGGTCAATCAGTTACACATTGTCAAGTGTTGTGCACACTGTGTCAATATTCTGTCAACAGGACGTCAGAAAAGAGAGGAGAAAGGAGATGAGAATCTGTCTCCACTCACGTCCTCAGTTTTGCCGTCCTGATCGTGCAGAGCTTTCTGAAGCTCCTCGATCTGAGAACGCAGCTCTGAGATCTGCTGCTGGTCCAACCTGAGAGACAAACACCAGGGAGAGGAGACGTTAGGGACAGAAAGAACATGTTCAAAGGAAACAAAAAGGACGAGGGTTAGTGTGGACATAGCAGCCAAGAAAAGGGAAGTAGATGGTGAACATAAACAGTCTTTAAGTTGATGCTGTGGGTGGAAAGATATATGCAAAATCGGGTTTAATTTGAGTGTTTTTACTGAGTTAGTGAGGGTTCAAATACCTTATGTACAGTTTTTCAACATAATTCTCATTTCTACAATAGAGATGAGAACAATTAAAGAACAATATCTAATTGCGATTACTTTGACAGATATTGCGATATGACTCACGATATTGGAGGGGTTTATCAATTAGTCATCATTATTGAGGGATGTATTAAACAACGTCTGTCATCCATATCGTGATTTTATTGTTTTTCTTGGTCTTCTTGTTTTTAAGTAGCGTTTCCATGTGTGTGTGTGTGTGTGTGTGTGTGTGTACTCCCTTATTTGACCAGTTTTGCAATATATACATGTTTTTTTTAATGCATTTCATTTGATAGTTATACAGGCAATTGTTCTTGTAAACTTCTGACTAAAAAACTATTTGCTGTTCAGTTGGTCATGTGATTTTCAAAGAGGCAGTTTGTTAATTCAGGAACATGAGAATATACAAAATATATATACAAATGCAAAGTATCATGTGGATCTCTGTACATTTTCCCCCCTCCACAACTCTACTGGGTGATGATGATCCGGCTTCCCACACCCTGGTGTTGCAAAGGACACACACACGCACCCCACCCACATGCCCACACAAACACACACACAGTCGTGGACAATCTGGCTTTCTGCAGTCCCGCCCACACACACAGTCCAGAGGGTGAGTTGACATTTAGGCAGATCTCACTCCCACCGGCAGCCAACAAGCAGCTTAATGAACACACACTGTGGTGTTGACACAGAGAGAGAGAGAGACACACACACACACACACACACACACACACACACACACACACACACACACACACACACACACACACACACACACACACTCTTGTGGCTGGACGCTGGCTAGTGCCGCCCTACACACACA